CTGAAAGCCACTGGGTTGACCTGTTGAATGACCTCAAAGGGACCCAACCTCCTGGGTCTTAATTTCTTACAACCTCCTTTGAACGGCACCCCTCGGGTTGACAGCCACACCCTATCTCCAACCCTTATGGTTTCACCTTCCCTTCGGTTCTTGTCTGCCTGCCTCTTGTATTCTTCCTTCGCCCTTTCTAAGTTGAGTTGGAGCTGACGGTGGATTGCTTCCATTTCTTCTACAAAATGCTCGGCTGCCGGTACGCTCCATCTCTCCCCTTCTCCCCTGGGAAAGCCCTGGGATGACACCCATAATTAGCCAAGAAGGGCTCATCCCTGTGGACACATTCTCGGCATTGTTGTAGGCAAATTCCGCCAGCGCCAACTTTTCTACCCAGTCATTCTCTCTGTCATTGACATAACACCTCAGGTATTGCTGGAGGACACCGTTTGCTCTTTCCGCCTGCCCGTTGGTTTCAGGGTGCCGGGCAGTCGAAAGTTGACCTCCACCTGCAGTAAGCTCATGAGCTTCCTCCAGAACCTGGAAGTAAATTGTTTTCCTCGGTCTGAGACCACCCTCAATGGCACCCCGTGCAACCTAAAAATGTGTTCTACAAATAACTTCGCTGTCTCTTCCGCCGTGACTGCATGCGAGCAAGCTACAAAGTGGCACATCTTTGTTAGTAGGTCTACCACCACCATGATGGCTGTTTTCCCTTTGGACTTCGGCAGATCAGTCATAAAATCTATCGACACTGCCTCCCAAGGTCGTTCTGGTGTTGGTAAGGGTTCTAATAGCCCCGCCGGCGCTCGCCTTTCCCCTTTGGCTCGCTGGCACTGCTCGCACCCTCTTACATACTCACGTACATCCTCCCTCACCTTAGGCCACCAAAATTCCCTGGTGACCAACCACATGGTTTTGTGTTGCCCAAAATGCCCGCCGTGGGGCTGTCATGCAACTGCTTGAGTACCCTCCCCTTAAGTCTCCTTCAGGGATATACAGTGCCCCTTTGTAATACAAAGCTCCATTTCTTTCCTCGAAACCCCTTGATTCCTCTCCCTCATCCCTAAGACCTCTGAGCTTATTCTGGGCGTATTCATCATTCTCTGTTTCTTCTACCAGTTCTCTTTGTCCCACCAATGCCGCCCCACACACCCAGCGGTCCTCTGGAATGACATGTCTCTCTTCGGGTGCTCCCTCCCCTCCAAATATTCAGGTTTGCGTGAGAGAGCGTCCGCCCTAATGTTCTCTGGGCCTGGCACGTAACAAATCTCAAAGTTAAATTTGGAGAATTCCTGGGCCCACCTCACTTGCCGTTGGTTGAGCACTCGTGCCGTCCTCCAATACTCTAGGTTCTTGTGGTCAGTGCACACTTGCACCTTATGTTGTGCGCCAATTAGCAGGTGCCTCCATCTCCGGAACGCCTCATGAATGGCTAGTAGTTCTCGGTCATACACCGTGTAGTTCCTCTCGGATTTGTTCAGCTTTCGCGAAAAAAAGCACACGGTCTCCACTCTGACTCCTCCTTCCCTGGCTGGAGAAGCACCGCCCCAACCGCTCTGTCTGATGCGTCAGTTTCCACTCTCATCGGTTTTGTAAATCCACATGCAGGAGCTGTTGTTCCGAGGCGAAGGCCCTTTTAGTTCCTCAAATGCTTGCTCCGCCTCCTCCGTCCAAGCGAACTTCTTCTTACTGCTGAGACAGTCCGTAATGGGCGCCGTCAGGTGGGCAAAGTTTGGGATGAACTTACGATAGAAGTTCCCAAATCCTAAAAACCTCTGCACATCCTTCCTTGTTTTGGGTGTTTTCCATTCCAGTACCGCCTGGACCTTGCCGGGATCCATGGCCAACCCCTTGTCAGACAGGCGATACCCCAGGAATTCCACCTCCTTGGTATGAAACTGACACTTCTCCAGTTTCACCCACAGCTGGTTGGCTTGCAGCCTGCTCAACACTTCTCTGACGTCTCTCACATGCTGCTCCTCATTCTCAGAATACACCAACACGTCGTCCAAGAAGGCCACACAATTCTTGTAAAGCAACGGCCCCAGGACGTGGTTCATAAACGATTGAAATGTTGCGGAGCCTGCTTGTAGACCGAAGGGCATAACTAAGTATTCAAATGCCCCTAAAGGGGTGAACATGGTGGTTTTCCATTCATCCCCCTTCCTTATTCGTATCAGGTTGTACGCCCCCCTTAGATCCAGCTTGGTGAAAATCTTTCCCTTCCGCACCCTTGTCAAAATGTCGTCAATCCTGGGCATCGGGAAGGCCACTGGTTCTGACACTGCATTTAAGGCCCTGAAGTCACACACCAGTCTCGGCTTGTTCGTGTTTTTGTCCACAAAAACACTGGGCTGCCCCCACCGCCCTGGACTCTCTGATGAACCCTCTCTTCAGGTTCTTGTCAATGAACTCTCTTAGCTCCTGCATCTCTCTGTCTGACATGGCGTACAGCTTGCCCACAGGGAGCTGTGCCCCAGGGAGCAAATTGATTTGACAGTCAAAGGCTCTATGCGGTGGTAGTTGGTCAGCTTCCCTTTCGCTGAAGACGTCACGGAGATCTGCATATTGTCGTGGTACCTTCACGTTCTCTGTTACTTCAGTCCCTGCTAGGGTGGCTTGGACCCCTGCCAAACCCTTTCCCTCTTTGCAGTGTTCTAAGCAATGTGCTGACCCAAAAGAAACCACTCTTTGATGCCAGCCCACCAGCGGATCATGTAACGCTAGCCAGCTCATCCCCAATATAATGGGAGCTCCTCCCAAGGTGGCCACATTAAATGCTATTAGTTCGGTGTGCCTTGCCACCTTCATTATCATTGGGACGGTCTGCAAGCTGACTTCTCCTCCCAACAGCTCCCTGCCATCGATCGTGGTTACCTGCAGGGGTTGCTTAAAGGAGCGTCTGTATCTGGTGTTCAGCTGCAAACTCTTTGCTCATGAAATTGCAGGAGCTGCCTGAGTCCAACAGCGCCTTTATCTTTAGAGGGTGTCCGTTTGGCAGCTCTAATGTCACTTCTATCACTAGGGCGGGTTTAGGAGGTTCTGGCGTGGGCACTTTCACTGCTCTTTGGCCTGGCTGCTGTGCCCCGACAATGGCAGCCAGGCGTTGGCTTTTAGTTGCTCCGGTATTTTTCCTCTCTTCCCTCCACAGCTCCCACCATCCCTTGCCATTCCTTCCTCTGAGGGCAGACTCTGGCAAAGTGCCCTGGCTGTTGGCAGAGATAGCATTTCCGGGCGCCTTTTCCCTCCTTTTTCCCCCTCACTGGGCTTTGAAACTGCGCGCGCGCGCCTGTTCCGATTTCCATCGGCTCTGCCGGCGGGAAAGTTGGCTCTGGAATGTCTGGAATGCGGAACTCCTTCCAACGTTCCCCTTTCCCTTCCCGCCTCTCCAATGCTCTCGCCTCCTGGCGCGCTCCTATGGCCAGCGCTGATTTGGTCAGCTGGTCCATAGACTCCGCCCTGGGCGCCCGGGAAAGTTCATCTTTCACAGCCGAAGAAAGCCCTTCTTCAAAGAGCATTTGAATGGGTTCCGCCGATAAGTCCCACCCCAATCTGTGTATCAGCATGGTGAACTCAGTCCAGTACTCACGTACAGATCGGCTCCCCTGTTTGCAAGCCATTAACTGTCTGCGCACCACTCCCTTTTCAATATCGCTGGAAAACATCAGATCCATGGCGCGAAAGAACTTCATCGTGTCCTTTAGGACGTCACTATGCGCTGCCATCAGGGGTCTAACCCAGTCTCTCGCCCCCTTTTCAAGATGCCCAATCACAAAAGCCACTCGTGATTCCTCATCAGGGAAATCATCAAACTGCAGATTGAGGGCATATTGCATTTCTGTCCGAAAGCTATGATAGTCTTTGGGCTCCCCCCCAAATTTCTGCACCAATCCTGGTACCTTTCTGGCGAGCTGGGTGGCTTTCTCCCTTGTCTGCATCTTGAGCCCTCCTCTCCTCCAGCCTCGCCGTCTGCAGCGCCAGCTGGACCTCCAACACCCGGTACCTTTCTTCCAGGCTTGGACCCGCTCCAGCCCCTGCTTCTCCGGTTCCTGCTGGGTTGCTCATTATGCCTTCTCCTGCACAAGCTGCGTTCAAAGACTGTCGGAATGCTGTGATGGGAAGATGAGCTGCTTGTGCGTAAAATCGTATTCCCTCAGTGTTTGTTCAAGTCCACAAACCTCTGTCTGTGACGGAGCCCCTCTGACATGGCTCCTCTAGTCACTAGAAGATTCCGACAGTGGTTGCTTTCGTAATCGCTTCCAACATAAAAGCTCCTTAACGGAAACACGTCTTCTGGACTCTCTGCGTGACAGTTTCCGGCGAGGAGTGGGTGTCCCTACAGGAGGTCCGGAAACCTCACCACTGTTTTCGCTGGAAGTATCTCTGAGCCATCCCCCAGCTCCCTTTCCCTCAGTTCAGCTTCTCTCCCCCTGCTGGTTTCCTCTTCAGCTGCTGAGTCTCTTCCAACCTGTCTGAGTCCTTTCACCTCCCTTCCTTCCGATGGCAGTTCCCTGACAGCACCAATGTCACGTCATAATAGAAGTGTTAATAAAGGCACTTTGCATTGCTGGATACAGTACTTCAATAAATATATCTTTTAATTTCATATAAAACACATATCTATTTTAAGTTATGCTTTGTACCTATTTTAAATCATAGTCGTGATGTGCTCTACCTCTGCTCTTTCCAGCTTAATCAGATCTAATTTAAGTCCAACTCCAACCTATTATTATTAGTTAAATTTGTATACAGTGCTACCTTTTTTTGGAGAGGTGTTATGCATGCAGAGTACATGAAGGGCAGGTTTGATTCTTACTAGATAATATTTTTTTAAAGTATCCTGTACATTGCACTTAAAGCTAAATTGTTTGTGACAGGCACAGCTTGGATGATTCAATGAAACAGCAAAGATGCTGAATTTTGAAAAATGCTTCATTATTTTGAGCCCTGGAGGTGTTGCTAAATCCACTCTGGAAAGTGACAAAGGGTGACATTTCTTATTTTTGTTACAGGTGATAAATCCAATGGGATGGGATGCATTTGGATTACCTGCAGAGAATGCGGCAATTGATCATGGCTTGCATCCAGCAGACTGGACACAAAGGTGCTTGTTTTTCTTGCTGCTTTATGCATGTGTCAGTTCTGAAGCAGAATATTGCTGCTCTTGCTCCTTTCCATGTTCTTTTAGCCTCTGCTCTACAGAAAATGCCCCAGGTTAGAGAGATATGCACCTAGCAATGTCTCTGTCATTAGAATTTGTCTATAACTGTGCCTGGTACCAACACCTAGGATTGTGCATACTTTCTCTAGCTCATCAGGTATTAAGCCAAGCTTTCTCCTAAATGGGATGATACAACTGTGTGAATGCATGAGGAGCATCAGTTACACACTACGTATGTAGGAATTTGCAGCTCACTCTTCCCATAGGGTGGTGCTGTGGGTTAAACCACAGAGCCTAGGGTTTGCCGATCAGAAGGTCGGCGGTTCGAATCCCCGCGATGGGGTGAGCTCCCATTGTTCAGTCCCAGCTCCTGCCAACCTAGCAGCTCGAAAGCATGTCAAAGTGCGGGAAGGTAAACGGCTTTTCCGTGCACTGTTCTGGTTCGCCAGAAGCGGCTTAGTCATGCTGGCCACATGACCCGGAAGCTGTACGTCGGCTCCCTTGCGCAGGGGCCATGCTAATCTTCTCTGTATCATTCCAATTTTAGTATATGTGCTGCCGAAGCGAGCACAGGCCTATAGAGCGAGATGAGCGTCGCAACCCCAGAGTCGGCCATGACTGGACCTAATGGTCAGGGGTCCCTTTACCTTTACCTTCCCATATTGGACCAGAAATAAGATTTTTTTCTTAAAATTGTGTCACTCATATAAATATTACAAAATGATTTGGTTTTAGTTAATCTGTAATTGAAATGGGGTTCAGTAAGTAGCAATCTTGCAAAGGATTTTTATAAAGTGAATAGTGGATGGAACTCTGAGGCCGTTTAAGTTGACCCAATGCAAGTTGGAGGAGTTTAGGAGCCTTTTCTTGGGAGCAGTTGTTTCTGAAATATTCTTTTCTGTTTAAATATGGATTTTATTTTGTCTTTCAGTAATATTCGGCACATGCGAAAGCAGCTTGAAGCATTAGGCTTGTATTTTAGTTGGGATCGGGTAAGCTTTTTTTCTTTTAAAATGTATACTTCATGAAACTTAATTGTCTGCATTATTGAAGTGTGTGTGTGTTATAAGTGTTTCATATTGTTAACATGCATGAATCTGAAGTCAGTTTTAAGAAAATTCTTCTCTAGGATGAGTTTACTTACTATTGTTGTTTAAACCTATTAGTTTCTTGTCTCCAAGTAACTTACATTGATAAAAACGTACATAATTGCATTATACCATAGACGAGGGCAGGAATTGTGTAACATATTAATATTCCGTACAACATTTTAAAACACACACAAAGCAACCACCACATAATAATGGTGGAAAATATTGGCAGCACACTAACAATAAACAGAACAATACACCCACCCTCTCACCAGTGGACAAAAATAGAAACTCAGCGCTGACATCCCCTCGCTAGCCGAGGAGTTATGACATGCTTTATGACTTACAATGTGATTATTTGTTACACAAAGCACTATCAATGTGCATGGCCCTCTGTAGGGCACAAACGGACAGGTCCCTGATGCAAGGAGCTTACAGTCTCAATACAGGAGAAGCAGTGGAGGAAGGCGAGAGAGGTGGGGGCAGGGCTAAAATAAAGAAGCAATATGCAGTTGTTTGTTGCTTGTACTGGGGCTGAGTTGCAGCAGGGCATGAGAACTAGGGGGCTGAGCCATAGGGTTAGGAGAAAACGTGGGCATGAGTGATAATGACGACAATATGATTTCTTAACCTACACCAGGGGTCAGCAAACTTTTTCAGCAGGGGGGTGGTCTATACTTTGAAAAGACTATACTTTGAAAAGAAAAAAAGAATGAATTCCTGTGCCCCACAAATAACCCAGAGATGCATTTTAAATAAAAGCACACGTTCTACTCATGTAAAAACACCAGGCAGCCCCCACAAATAACCCAGAGATGCTTTTTAAATAAAAGGACATACAGTGGTACCTCGGGTTACATACGCTTCAGGTTACAGACTCCGCTAACCCAGAAATAGTACCTCGGGTTAAGAACTTTGCTTCAGGATGAGAACAGAAATCGTGCTTCGGCGGCGCAGCGGCAGCAGGAGGCCCCATTAGCTAAAGTGGTGCTTCATGTTAAGAACAGTTTCAGGTTAAGAACGGACCTCTGGAATGAATTAAGTACTTAACCCGAGGTACCACTGTACAGTATTCTACTCATGTAAGAACACGCTGATTCCTGGACCGTCCACGGGCTGGATTTAGAAGGCGATTGGGCCAGATCTGGCCCCCAGGCCTTAGTTTGCCTACCCATGACCTACACACTGTGCATTGCACAGTACTTGAGATTAACAAAGGGGGAGCTATGTTGTCAGGCTTGCAGTCTAAATAAGCGCATGAGGAAAAAGGCAGAGTATAAAAAACGGCCAGAGAATCATTTGGTAGCTGATCATCTGTGTCACTGGTGAGAAGCTTGACTTACTTCCTCTTCCCTGAGCCTAGAAATCTGTTTGTGCTGTTATGCTTTGCTCACAAGTGTTATCAAGACTCTATCAGAGTTGCACATTAGTAGGCAGTAGTGGCTGGTGCCCCTTGGTTCTGGTAGAGCAGAAGGGCACGGAGGCCAACATTAGTTGGAGCCAGAGTCAATGACAGGCAGAGCCAACTATTTTCTACCTGCTGAGTTCTGTGATGATAACACAGACTAAGGAAGCTGATAGCCAGTGCTGTATGTAAGTAACTGAATGTAAGTTAAGACAGCAGGCAGTTGGAAGCTGGCTAATGACAGGCTGAGGTTGGTGGGGAACTGCCGCATTCACACCTAATGAAACAGTCTCCTCTGTTAGTGAATGAACCACTTAGAATCATCGAATTGGAGGGAGACGTCTAGACCTTCTAGTCCAATCACCAGTTTGATGCAGGAAATCCAGAGTTGGTGCATTCTCCCAGCAGGTGTCTCACCATTGTCTGGTTCCATTGTCACACTGCTCTTACCTTCAAGAATGTCGAACCAAAGTGTACTCTCTTGTCGCTTAATCCCATTAAGCTTGAGGAGGATGTGTCTGTGCTGCCTGCCGTAGCCCTATACATCGAGCCCAGTAATATAAATATGCTGTAAAGGCTTTACTGGCTCTGCCAAGAAACTTACATTGCCCCCTGCTCTCAAATTGTGAAGCAACAGGGTATGGGTTTAGGCACACTTAAAACTCTGGCAGATTGTGGCCATGGATTCCCCTATCTACTTAAAATGGCTTCCTTGATTTAGTGGGTGATATTCAGGACTGCTGTGTATTCATTAGAGTGCACATGGAATACTGAATCAGGTGGTCATCTTTTGAACGAACCACTTATCGTTCTGAGGAACCAATACTGAAATTGCTCTTATTCTGTTTACAGGAAATAACCACTTGTTTGCCGGAGTACTATAAGTGGACACAGTATCTTTTTATTAAGCTTTATGAAGCGGGGTTAGCCTATGAAAATGAAGTAAGTTGAACTGTCTCTTTTTATATTATGGATATGCCTTTAAAAGTCTTTGGTGATTATTGCTTGTATGTTGACTTTCAGACATACAGCTGTAGAAAACTGTGTGTGTGTGTGTGTGTGTGTGTGAGAGAGAGAGAGAGAGAGAGAGAACGCGCGCGAGCGCGCGAGAGAGTGCCTGTGGTGTTCTATGTTGCATAAAATGATGATTATTTCTATAAATTTTTCTACCCATACTCTTCTAAATTACTATTTCCAAAGCAGCTAATGATGCAATCAAGCAAATAAACAAAACACAAACAACAACAACAACATAATAATAATAATAATAATAATAAAGCAAATAAAAGTAGCACAACAGTAAAATCAAGAATATAAGTTGCCACAGAAAACGAATTTAACCAGAATTTTGAAGGCTAGCGTGTCCAGTAGGTAGGGGCACTGCAATCAGTAAAGCTTTCTTCCTGGTTTCTGGTGCCTCAGCTTTGAAGGAAGACAAGCATCTGGAGGAGGGCATTGGCAGACATATAAAGATATAGTGGGAATAGATGGTCCTTCAAGTTCCTGGGTCCCCAAGCCTTTAAATGTGAGCATCTGCAATTTGAATCAGCTTGGAAGCAGACTGCCAGCCAGTGAACTTGTTTAAAAGCTAATGAGAGATGATCTGACTAGCCAGTCCTTGAACTAGCAGAAACTTTGGAACCATCTTCAGAGGCAGCCTCATGTATAATGCATTTCAGTAGTCAAACCCAGAAAGTAATGGGAAGCCAGCTTGCTGTGCCTGGTTTAGTTCTGTGGCAGGAATAAAGGTAAAGGTACCCCTGCCTGTACGGGCCAGTCGTGTCCGACTCCAGGGTTGTGCGCCCATCTCACTTAAGAGGCTGGGGGCCAGCGCTGTCCGGAGACACTTCCGGGTCACGTGGCCAGCGTGACAAAGCTGCTCTGGCGAGCCAGCACCAGCACAGCACACAGAAACGCCGTTTACCTTCCCGCTAGAAAGTGGTACCTATTTATCTACTTGCACTTAGGGGTGCTTTCGAACTGCTAGGTGGCAGGAGCTGGGACTGAAAGACGGGAGCTCACCCCACCGCGGGGATTCGAACCGCCGACCATACGATCGGCAAGTTCTAGGCACTGAGGTTTTACCCACAGCGCCACCCGCGTCCCACAAGTGGCAGGAATAGTAACCTATATTAAAGTGACTCTTGTGGGCTTTGTGGGATATTTTTCTTTTCTGTAGGAGACTTTCTAATTTGGCAAATGAATCCCTTCACTCCATGGACTTCAATGTCCCAAAGGAGGTCGTACATTCAAAAAGCAATATTCTTCCATTGCTGAAATCATTGGGGGACTGTTTTTTGTTAATATAAAGCTATGTTAGTTTTGGAAGCGAAGATATGCCAGATACATGCTGGAAAGAATTGGGTATTTTTATTTTTTGCAAGGCAGGACATGCACATGTAGTCATTCCTGTTATAGGAGTCTGTGGAAGTGACACTTTGCAACAGGTCAATCTCATAAGCCCTTGAGCAGTAGTGGGTGCAGAAGCCAAAGGTAGGATTTTTCAGTCTGTCTAGGAATCTAATTGTGAGGCAACCAAAAAGACTTGTCTTTATTGGATGGCTTCTTTTTATATACACACATCTGTAAAGAGAAGAGTCTGTAAAGAGAAGAGACCTAAACATTAGGAAGAACTTCCTGACAGTAAGAGCTTCCTGACAGTGGAATTTGCTGCCAAGGAGTGTGGTGGAGTCTCCTTCTTTGGAGGTCTTTAAGCAGAGGCTTGACAACCATATGTCAGGAGTGCTCTGATGGTGTTTCCTGCTTGGCAGGGGGTTGGACTCGATGGCCCTTGTGGTCTCTTCCAACTCTGTGATTCTATGATTCTGTGAAGGAATGAGTTTTAGAAGCAAGTGTAAAGGATGATGCAGTGAATCAGAGACTGACTTAATTTGAGTGCGGGATTAGTCGTGCAAGCTCTTTTCAAAGGCAGAGTTCAACTCCGCAGCGTTCAAAAGAGTAGAAC